CATTCCTCATAGGTTAGGTAATGTTGTTAGCTTTGACTATTAGTTACTTTCAACTGGAAATCGAAGAATGTTGGATAGAGCTGGCGTAATTTGGGAAAATCAATTGAACAAACTGAATCAAATCGATTTGATTCACTTCAGTTTTTAATTTATTCAGTTTATTTTTAATTTTAATGGGAAAAATCTAAATTTTTTGTCAATTCAATTTTTATAAAGCCTCAAAATAAGTTTAAAAATAGCAAAATAGCTAAAACTAATCGAATTGATTTGATTTAATTACTATTTAGGTTGGTGTTTTAAAAATTTTTGATTTATATATAGCAAATAGATTTCACCTAAGGATTTTTCTCTTCCTCCTTTCTCTCTAGTCTATCTAACTTTAGTTTTCGTTTAGAGTTGGGGCTGTTAATCAGCGGTAGCCTACTACTTTCATTTTTTTTCTTCGTACTCCTGATCTTTTGTTAGTTATTAATAAATTCAGATCTATTTTGTTCTAACATATATGTTTTTCTCTTTGTTTATTATTATTGTTGCTTTATCTCCATATTTAGAGTTCTTTTGTCTATTCTTCTTGTGAAGGTTTGTTACAAAGGTTCTGTTCAGCTACAACTTTTTAAATAGCCAATCAAGACGCTAAATGTTGTTTGGTATCATAACTTTTGGACTAGTTTTTCGATGTTATGGCACCATTTTATGAAAAGTTGATTCATATAACGTTGAGCTTTTAACATTTTATGAAAAACTAATTAAACAGCTAACAGCTAAACGCAACTAAAATAGCTAATTTTGCTTATTACATCTCTAATTTCATGGAGTAGATATACATGAATTTAATTAAATCCAATTGATACCTAACTATTAATTTCAGGTGAACCAACAACATCAAAGAACGTTAGTTATACGTAAATCTCACGTGTGAGGCCAAAATTAACAAAGTTAATAATTTAAAACTTGACTTAATTAAACTAATTAATTAATTAAACGGATGTATAAATATAATACTAGTAATAAAACAAAGTTAAAATTTTTGGAGTTCAATAATTGAAGTATGGTGGGACTGCGACTGCTTCTCTCGTGGATAGAATTAAAAATATATTTATTTTTAATGAAACTAATCATGTTTTAATTTAAACTTTATTAACTATTTTTTTCACTCCTCCCGTGATAAAACTCACCTAAGCATGACCACAATTTATTTTAAACCAAAATCGAATCAATTCAAACCAAAATCAGATAGAGGTCATTGATTGCCAGTTTTAAACCATACACTTATAGTTCGATTTTAGGTTTTTTAATTTTTCTAATCGAATTGATATAATTATTTTAAAATTGGCAGTTCCGACTTGAAGCCACTTTGAAAAAATTCTTTTCAAAGAAATACCTACTTTGTTTTATTATAATTTTAAAAATAAATTTTTTTTTTTTAATCGAATTGATATAATTGTTTTAAAATTGGCGGTTTAGACTTGAAGCCATGTTGAAAAAAGTTCTTTTTAAAGAAATGCCTACTTTGTTTTATTATAATGTTAAAAATAAATTTTTAGACTTATTTAATTGGTTTAGTTTTTTCAGTAGTACTATTATTTGTTTATTATATTATTATTATTATTATTATTATTTCTTTGAACTAAAAACCAAAAAAAAAAATGAAAAAAATTATCTAATTTTTACTCAAAACTGAAATGAAATGGCCAAAACCGTCTTACAAGCCGTCTAAAAGCGATCTGGTTCTAATTTTGTCCTTCTTATAACCGAAATCAATGGTTTTAAAATCCAAAAAAGTAGTCATACCAAACTCCAATTCGTCGTTACTTTCGCAAATCAAAGCTCTAACTTCATAAATTTATAAATAATTTTTAAATGAAAAATTGAATTAAAACTAATTTATAAATTTGATTTAGTTTAATTTTAAAATTCAAATATTTGTCTCAATTCAATTTAATTTTTGTACGAAAAGTTTTAAAAATTGAATCGGATGGAATCCAAATTGAAATGTTTTATTATTTTTAACAATATTTTCAGTTATTCTCATTCTCTTTTATAAGGAAATAATTTCTAATAATTTCTAAGTAAAAGTCGCTAACCAAGAACACTGAACACAATTCGGTTTCTAACTTTGATTTGGGTTCCTCTGAACATTAAGTTTATATTTTTTTAAACATTGTAAAAACAAAAAAAAAAAAAAAAAAAACGCTTTTCGACTTGTGTCAATTTTTGATTCTAAATAAAAAAAAAAGCTTTCGACTTGTGTCAATTTGATTCTAATTTTAATCGACGCAACCCTCTTTTCATGAATTTATTTTTCACTTTAGATATTTTGTTTAAAGTTTTTGATTTGTTTGTTGAATTTTTTTTCTTTAGGTCTTTCATTTGTTTCTTGATTTTTTTTTTTTAATTTTTTGAGTCTTTGATTTTGTAGCTTTGATTTGTAGAGAGAAAACTAAAATTGTTGGAATTTTTTAAGGGTATATTCCATTTTTGTTTCTTTTTTCTTTTTTTTTTGAATAGATCGTGTGAAATGGAGTATATAGAACTTCAACTTATTCAATTAAATAATAATAAAATAAATTTATTTCTCTAAATTGAACAATTAAGCTATTTATCTGAATTTGTAAATCAAAAATTTTGTCAAATTTTTTTTTTTGTTCCCAACAGAAAAATTCTTGATACTCAAGCAGATGATCCCATATGTTATAGGATAACTTTTTTAGATAAAAAGATAAGAATCTGTCCATATCAATTGTCAACAATACAAATAATAATAACCCCATCTCTAGCTCAACTCATCATTAATCAACTCTTGATACCATTTCTTATATCTTTCTCGTATATATACAGACTCAACCGCAAGATGCAGGGGTTAGCAATGGCCCATTCCCTAACAATTGCTTTTAAAAAAAAATACCCATAAGATATTCGAATTTTTCTCTTTTTATTTTACCTCTATTAAACACACTACCATAAATGTTTTCATTTAACCGTACAAAATATTTTAACCCTAACTTCTTCAATTATCTGGCATATATATTCTTAATATCGATAATATGTATTCAAACACTTACATTTTTTTTATTTTACCTTTTAAACAATACATAAATGTTTTCAATTTAACCTAAAAAATATTTTAACCCCTAACTTTAATTTCTGGCTTATATACTTTTAATTCGAAATATGTATTCAAAATCTAGCATAATAACCATTCACCCATGTTTTTGTCCGCTTGAAAGGCTTCGTTTCTTTATTGCTCTGTGAGAGAGAGATTGTGGAAGTGGTGGTGATGATGATGAGGTTTACATGAAAGAAAGTATGTAAAATAATTTTGTCTGTGATAAAGAAGAGAGAGAGGAAAATTTTTAAAAAACATAAAAAAATCTTTTAATTAAATTAATTATAAAATAGCATTATTTTTACTAATAGAATACAATTATAACTTTTAAAAAATTATTACTCTATTTTTTTTTCTCTTGATCAATGGTTAAAAAAAATTTTTTTTTTTCTCATATATTAGAGATCGCAGAATCTTTTCGAAAAAAGCACAGAATAAAAGGAAAGAAATTGTGTTTTTTTGCACTATATCTAAATTAGGGATAGCACGTGGGAAATGCTTCCACAGTGCAATAGTAGTTGCCCACTAAGTGACTAAACAATGCACTAGTCACGGTCATGGTAGATAGGTCGCATAGTTTCCTTTTCAATAAGTAGATTTTTACTGTCCTTGGCTTTGTGTGAACCTAAAATCCTGCCAAGAGAAGAGAGGAGGGCCAACCTTGGAAAGACAGCTTTCAAAAAATAAATTTAGCCAGTGATGCCTAGAAAGAGAATTGATGCGGAAAAATCCTGTCTTTATTGAAATTGAACAAAAAGAAAATATCTCAATAACTTTTTAAATTTGTGTCTTTTATAGAATCACTCACCGATCAATGTGGCTATTGAAGTTTTTAAAAATTCTGTTCATCACATTGCGAGTGTGATATGTGACATTTGTTATCTTAAAATGGATTAAACTTTATTAATAAGCACTTGAATTAGCTTAATGTATTACATCTCGAGATGAATTTTATTTATAAGTCCAAGAATTTGAAATTTAAAATTATTACTATTGAGAGAACTTTACTTGAATATATTTAAAAGTTATATATTTACGTATAAGAAAAAAAGATTAATCTTTTCTCATTTATTAAAAGTGCTAATAAGCTGAAATAGTATTATAAGCTACACAACAAAGGTAATCAAGGGGGCCTAATTTTGATTTTCTTTTTAAATTTACCTCATAAAATATAGAAAATTTTACCTTTTGTTATAACAGAGTGATTTTTTTAAATATCGCTTCCTCTAAATTTTGGAAAAAAAACTTTTGCCCCTTCTAATTATTTTTTCTGGTTCCACTACAGGGGTAGCTTTCCTCGTAGCTCACTAAATTGATAAAAACTTTTGTAGTCGAAAGAACTTGAACTCGAGACACTTGGTTGGCAAAAAAAAATTAACCTTTCGAAAGAGAAATTTATTGTAACTTCCATGAAAAAGTTTCAGGTTTCATTTGGCAATCTGTGCAAGAAGCATAAAACATTGACAAACAGATTTGCTTTATAGAATTTTCTTTTGTATTTGGTAATAAATAAGTTTGAAACTCTAAAAGAAGAAAATATATGTATAAAAATCAAATCAATATTGATCTATAAAAGGAGAGAGTAATTAAATTTATTCATTTTCATTTTTATTAAATACTGTGGGCACGTGTAGAGTTCTCCTTATGCACGCTTATCGCCACAATTTTTGTGAGTAATAAATCCTTCCACATGCTACCGCCTGTTCCCTTAAAAGGAATTAGATAAACCCACCATCTGATACCCTCTTCTATAAATTAGTACCCAACCATTGAAACCTCATCCATTCATTGCTTATCAAACCCTACTCGATATCTAAACATACCTCACTACCGCCTGTTCCCTTAAAAGGAATTAAATAAACCCACCATCTGATACCCTCTTCTATAAATTAGTACCCAACCATTGAAACCTCATCCATTCATTGTTTATCAAACCCTACTCGATATCTAAACATTCCAAAAAATAATGAGAATTGCTAATTTTCTCGTACCTCTTTCTATCTTGGCTTTGGCTTTGTCAGTCGCCCTTGCTTATGATCCTAGCCCTCTACAAGACTTCTGTGTGGCAACCGATGATACTTCCTCTGGAGGTAGTCATATATACGAGCTTATTATTATTACTACTAATACTTTTTATCACTATTAGTATTCCTATTACTCGCTCTGTTCCGTTAGGTATGTCACAAGTTTAACTGCATAACTACTTTTTTTTTTTTTAACTAGTACTAACTCCGTTCCATAATACTTATTACGTTTGAGAAAATAATTTATTCCAAAATACTTATTACATTTGTGATTTCAAGGAGTGATACATCTTTTTTTTTTCTATGTTTAATCTTTGTATATGAAACAAAATCTTTGTTTATAGAGTATGATACCAAGAATCAAATTTCAGTGAATAACGTACCAACCAAATGAATTCTTGCGATTGGAGAGGCAGCTAAAGTGAACTTTTAAAGTTTGAACATTAACCTTAAACTTGAGTTATTGTTCCTAGGGTTATCACTAATCCATATTTATTAACCTGTCTAAAATTTGATTTTTAACATAAAATTCATCGGATATCTCTTTGTATAACAATGAAAAGCCTAATCTATGTTTTAAAGGTTTTGATAACGAAAAGATAATAGAATGTCACATGGGATTAAAATTCTCAATGAGGTAATTTGAAGACATTAAGATAGGTAAACTTGGTATAATCTCGCATGGGATTAAAATTCGACACTCATATCCTCATGTTATTTTATTTTTTGTTTTTCATAAATTTGCTTGAATTGGCAGCTTATAATCCTGGCTAGAGACCACTCCAATACCATTAAAATATATTTATGTTACTTTTTGAATATTAGTCTATTCAAGTTTAAAATTTCCAGCTCCACCATCAATTAAATTAACTATATGAATAATAGATAATCACTTCAATTTTATCTTTGGTGCAGCATTCGTAAATGGAAAATTCTGCAAGGATCCAGAGCATGTAACAGCAGACGATTTTTACCATACTGGACTTAATATTGCTAGGCCGACATCAGACCAACTCGGAGTCCGTACAAATCTTTTAACAGTAGAAGAAATACCAGGACTCAATACATTAGCACTATCCATTGTTCGAATTGACTTCGAAGCAGGCGGAGTCAACCCGCCACACCATCACCCTCGAGCATCTGAAATCATAACAGTATTGGAAGGAACTCTTTATGCTGGTTTCATTACAGGAAATCCTGATCATAAGGCTTTTGTCAAAATTTTAAAAGCAGGAGATGTTTTTGTATTTCCATTTGGATTAATTCACTTCCAGTTCAATATTGGTAAAAGCCCTGCAGTCGCTATAGCAGCATTAAACAGTCAAAATCCAATTGGTAAAAGCCTGCAGTTGCTAATAGGCCGCAGATTAAGACAGTCAAAATCCACGGATGGTTTACTTCAGCAAAATACCATTCTTATGGGAGCTGTTCTTCTCTTAATCTTCAAACTTTTTGGCAAGAGCTTTCCATCTTGATCAAAAATATAGTGGCTAATCTACAAAAAAGAATGGGTCACAAGAATGGGTCAATCCATCTGACCTTAATTCTTATTCTAGCTATTATTGATATATATTTAGAGTTGTGACAGAGATAAAAATGAGGATTGATGTTACCAACTCTTTCTCGTCTGCATTGTAATAACAAAGAAAGAATATCTATCTATCTATCTATCTATCTATCTATATATATATGTGTGTGTGTGTGTGTGTGTCTGTGTCTGTGTGTGTGTATAAGCAAAGCAGTTTGCATTATATGAAAGTCAAGTGTAAGCATCTGAAATTGCCAAGTATGAGAATGACAATAATTATTTAGTACGATTGTAAGAAGATACGATGTAATGGCAGCAATTGTAAGAAGGTAAGTTGTTTTATATTTTTAGATAATGTCTTTATCATGATAATATCTATTAGTTACATCCCATCAAGATAGTGCATTAAATTAAATTAAAAAATAATTAAAATACAAATAATCCAAGCCATAAAATAAGAAATACTTAATTGCCTTAATTGCTACTAGGAGTAATTGCAACAGACCACAAGGAACACGGAGATACACGAACGCTAACGGAATATATTGTAATCAAATACACATCCATTTTTATAATAAATAAAAAGCATAAAATAAAAATGCTTAATTTTTATTTTAATATAATTAGTTTAAATTAAAATTAAAATGCATATAACCCAAACTATAAAATAAAAAACTATTTACTTTCTTATTTTAATGATTATCTTGATGTATGGGGTAGTCTTATATATCAGAAGCTATGTTACATAGATACGGGACACGAGATATAAGAAC